TTTTTTCCTCCATGTTGCAGGCGGGAGCAGGTCAGTTACATCTCAGCCATCCTCATGTAATAATGCAGAGAAGGATGAAATTTGGTAGTTTGGGGTTATCTTTGTGTCTCAGGAGTCTACAATAATTATAATGGCATATTATATTGTAATTGATCCCCTGAGGAAAAATTATTTTTTGTTTTTTATCCCCTCAGACCTGCACAGTGAAGTATAGGAGCACAGAGTCAGCGACAGAGCAGCGTCTCAGGGATTGAGAGGGATTTAGTGTCCTGCTCCAGCACACTTAAGTGGGGTGGGGGGGTGTTTCTGGAACAGAGGACTAAACCTGGGACTTTTCTGTTCAGGGTCACACTCCCTAATGATTTGAGCCCAGGCTTTCACACACTCGCCCGCAGCTGTGGAGTGGAGAAAAAAAAGAACACAATCAGTAGCTAATGTACCAATATTAAAACAACACATTCCCTGCAGCTCATCTACGGTCATATTTTGCGACCAGGGAACGGTCATATTTTTTAGATTTTAACAATACTGGTTTTTTTTTTCTTGCCTAAAAATCAATTCCATCCATTTTCTCTAGCTCTCGGGGGCCTGAGCGTGTCCCAGCATGCACTGGAGGAAAGGCAGAGAAACGTTGTGCAGGTTGTTGATTTATCGCAGGCCTCTGATCAACTGATTTGCATAAATCATTTGGTTTACAGTTTACCAACTCAGAGGGGGTATTATTTATCTCTCCATTTAGTGCTATCAGCTCGTCTTGGTTCACATTGTTCACTACTTTGATCCCATCCGAGAGTTCTTGTGCTAGGTGAACCGCTGTGATCACACCGCTGAGGCTGAGCATCACCGTTCTTTACATTAGACTGTTGGTCAGCAGCCAGACATTGTATGTCGATGCATTGATGGAACAACACTGCCGTTCAAAGCAGATGGGAATTCAAAGCTCGGTGCGGCTCAAACAGGCTGTGTGATTATTAACCGTTTGTGTCTGTTGCCTAACAAATCATCTGCTGCCAAATGAAGTAGCAGCTACGGTGCTGATGTTTTCAATCAGTGTTGACAAAATTGACAATTATTCAAGCCTGCGGCGATGGAAAATGATTGAACATCAGTACTGTAGAAGCAACATTAGTTTCGTTTGAGATCTATGCATTTTCACGCTGTAATGTTCTCCAGCTGCAAATCAAGCCTGCTTCTGTAGGTATCTCCACTGAAGACATCCCAAAAAAAACAGGCTATTTATATACCGGCACCTTCCCTGTAACACCCACCTGGGTGTATTTTGCGTGCTTCTGCACTACTTCTCACCGAGCACAGGCGCTTTGCTGCCAGAGAGTATTTAATGTTTATGGCAGCGCGGTCTCTCCCACGGGTGTCAAATGAGAAGGAATATTAGTGTTCTGAGCTATTAGCAGAGCAGAGACTGAGGCTGACAATGGAGGACTCGAGAGGGGAGGCTCGCAGTCTCCTCCAGCAACGGATATTTTTAGAGGTGGCTTTTAGACGCTCAGATGTTAAGAGTGGTATGGGCCGAGTGCCGGGAGAGAAACACACCGCTTCACTATACCAGTAGATTGGATTCAGATCATTTATTGGGGTTCTGGCACACTGCAACAGGTTATTGGCAAAATGACCAAAATAGCGTGAAGGTTTATTAATGTTTTGATTGTTTTTTCACTTTGCGAGACCTAAAACACAACCCAGTTGCTCAGTTTAGGGTTTAACACGTGTCACCGATTGTTAATCTGCATAATGTTCAGGTAATTTTGATGTATAATTGTAATTAATCAACAGACAAAACACACAACACACGAGGTAAATGGTGGGGTTTTTTTTCAGGGCTGCAACACATTTCTAATTAATTGCTTTATAATTGTCTTTCTTTATGTTAAGTAACATCAGGTGGGAGCCGAAGGTCTGGTTCAGTTTGGGAAAGTCTGATGAGAGGCGGTGTACAGACAAGAGGAGGGGGGTCTCCCTAATTACATCCTGTCCGATCATAAAATGGAATCCAGCAAAGTGTTTTATTGAAAATGTTATACCTCTTAAGAGACTTGTTTTTTTAATTAGCTAAAATTAATATAAACTATGTAATGAGGAAGACCTATAATTACCAAGCCCAATTAAAAGCCACTTAGGCCTTCGGAGCAGTTTGGCGTAGCTGGATCAACCTGTGAAAGATATCTCAGTATTCAAATACTGTCAAAACAACATATTATTATTAGGTCTGCATGTACGCACGGTATGTATCAGTGTGTGCCATGGAAACAAAACCCTTGTTCCGGGAAAGTGTTCGCAGCAGAGAAGAAAAAAGGAATTCATACTTCAGGTGAGTGTGATGTTTGGTAGGTGCTCCCTGTCACGGAGCTTGAATTGGGGTCCTCGAGTGAAGGGAGCGCATCTTTAAACCTTTGAACTTAGAGAGCAAACGGACAGACAGATGCATGGATGAATGGGTAGACGTAGCAATAAAACAAATTGCAGTGTCAACCCTACAGCTAACAGAGTTACAACACCGGGCCCATGGAGGGACTTGTTCAGTGTGCATCAACTCCCACGAGGCTGCTCCTCCTGGTATTCGCTCCAGAGGTTACGCAATGCTGCAGCCTGCTGCTGGTTGTGTGAGAAGAGAAGGAAAGAAGGGGATGAGCGCTCTGCTTCCAAACAGCAGATGTTGAGGGAGGGGGGGGGGCTGAAGTATCAGTGAGGCAAAGACAAAGAATCTAATGATTGATAGAGCCTCTGAGAGCAGAGAGCTTCTGCTGCTGTTAGATTTCCCATGTGTCTATCATGGTAGTGTGTGTGCGTGTGTGTGTAATGACACAGAGAGGCAGACAGATAAACCTTCAACACTGACGATCGTAGAAAGATACACAAATATTGTGAACTTTGAAATAACTTATATTTAGCTTCATTTGTCTTTGCACGTCAATAATTGCACCTGCAACACGAGTCTCAACACCTACCGAGTAAAGAACAGCAATTTCACTACTCGTGATCACTACTGTACGTACGGCTCTGGCTATTTATAGCACACGTGTCATTAATTTGTCAAATTACCTTTAACAGTGATATTCAGTCTTCTTCTGTCATGTGTCGCACTGCATAGATCAAAGTGTGCAGATATATCTTCTGTCAGTGTAGTCTCGTATCGAAACATACTGATAAGATCACAGGGAAAATAATGGCTCTAATGTAAATTATAATGAAGCTCACAAAGGTATTCGATCAAAATTAAACAATGTTTTACTATGAATGTTATTATTATTAGAGGTCTTTTCATCTTACGTTCCCCAACTCCACCATATCATCATATCACGCTCAGGTCAGGCTAAAAAACAACATGTACGACTGGTGTAAAGTATGTGTGAGGAGGCTTGTTTATATGCATCATTTATACATCTCGCCACAGTTCATTAAGTACAACATGCGTGTTGCAATCTTTAAAATTCCCTACTATATCTAGAAATCTGTGTTGACAGCTTAGGTTTAAGAAATGGAAAAATAAGTTAATTGAGGGTTTGATGCAGCTTTGATGAAAAGAAGGGGAAAAAAAAAGAGTCTTGCCTGATTGCAGAAGGAAACATCCCCCAACAACAGACATGGGTCGGCACACACAGAGGAATCTCTTCCTCCAGTGAAGGAACTGCTAATCCATTAACCAGCCAAGTGGATGTATAAACCAGAACTGTCGTGCTCTAGCTGGGACACGCTTCTCCACAGGAAGCCTATACACGCAGCCTTTCGGGAAAAAACTAAAAACAAGAAAAAAACTGAAATAACGAAAGCGCGAATTTGAAGAGAATGGAAACATCATTAAATTAATCCCCAGTGTACAATCAGAACGCTGTTGCAGGCCACTGACTGAAGCCCCTCGCTTAACCCAGAGTGACTTATTGTAGCCGCGAGCAAAGCAGCACGACATCATCGTTAGTTTAATGGCATCCCCTACTCTTTACTCATATTTCCAGTTTCCCAACCTAATACTATCTGAGCTGTGGCCGGGCCTTGTTTCACGGTGTGAGTCTGGCTGCCGTGAACTGAACTGCAGGGTATCGGTCCTGCATTGATTGGCCATTGAGTTAGCTTTGTGCTGGGTCACGAAAGGGAAATTCATTAGCATGCACATACTCTCTGTGGCATTTTGGCAAAGCCACAAAACTGTTATCCTTGACATGTTGCGTTGGGAATTAAAAAGGTTTTGTTGGTAACCAGAGGACGTCCACTGCTGCCTTCAGACCTGCGTTCAATACCAGAGCATTTGTAAGAGGCAGAGGGCTCTGTGTAGACCGATCCGTGGGGAATTACTGTCGGTATTGTGCTGGCCAAGAGCCTAACAAGCTAAACTCAACTAATCAATGTCACTGGACAATGCTGTGGGCTTACCAGCATGTGATTTTACTGAAACTTAAGTAATGTAGTTCATGTTTATTTTCTGTCTCTTTCAGAAATGGCCCAATCTTCAGGCAATAAAGAAGAGGAGATTTAGTAAACAGTATTTTTTTTTTTACCTCGAACAAAATAAAACAACCTTTGTTATGAGAAAAATGACTCTGAACAAATGGAAGAAGTTTTCAATTACACAATTTATAGACTTCCAAATGTCTACCAAATTCCCCTGTCTCACTGGCAGCACCATAAACTGAATTGATGGGTCTCCGTGCCTCAAAGTTGCCCGTTGTGGTCCAGGGAAAGATATTTTTTTAATACCTTGTATCCCTCATACTGTGAAATATGGCACCTTTCCACATATTACAAAAAAAGTCTAGAGGATTGAAAAAGATTTGTGTGGGTTAAAAGATGGAAGAAAAACTATATGAAAAACAAATATGTCTGGTGAACAAGAGTCTGAAAGAGATCCCCTGAAACAGCGGCATTGATATGCATTTGACGTTAAAATGTCTGCTAATGAGATGCTTGGATGTTTTGCAGATGAAAAGGCACTTTGTTCTTTCTTTAAAATGTCTAATTTGGAAACGTTTCTTCTTTTGTCTTCCAACTAGGAGGTCTGTGCATTTCCCAGTCTGTGAAGATACCACGTGAACCAAAAACCGGAGAGTTTGACAAGATCATTCGCAGGCTGAGTGAGAACCCCAACGCCAGAGTGGTTATTATCTTTGCCAACGAGGACGACATCAGGTGAGTGCAGTGGAATCCTAATTGCTGTCAGTTAATATAACTCTTTACCTGACTTTTAACCACCTATTGATTCTTCTCTTTACAACATTTACCTGCCAGTTTTTCCTTAAATGAAAACACACTGTTATGATAAGTTGAAGTAAAGCTGTAAGAGTTTTCTAAATCAGCTAACGTCTAAATGTTGTTTAGTAATGTCTTAACCTGACATGCCTCATGTGCTGACATTAAAATGTCACGCGTCTCCTGTGTGCATTAATATATTCAACTGCCTTTTGCTTGTGAAAAACAGTCTGCTACCCGCATGTAAATATTTATGAGTTATAAATGGCAAATATGATTATGTTTGGGCATATTCGCATTTTTTTAAGGTTCGTCACTGTAGATGTTGTCGCAGCTATTTAACAGCTGAGTGAAGTGGCTTAGTAACTGAGACTAATCATCTAATGCAATACAATGGAAGAGGCCTGCAAGTAACAAAGCCCAGTGGTGGAAATCATTAGTCAAAGTACTTTGCTTCAGTACGGTTTTGATTTATTTGCTCTTTACTTGCGGATTTACATGTTTTAAATACTTTTGGAGGGAAATATTAAGCAACATTCTGAGTGCAGGACTTTTACTTTTTACTTTTACTGAAGTAAAAGGATTGGGGCGAGTGGTGAAATCAAACTGAACATAGTGTTTTTCTGAGCTGATGATGGAAGCAGCTAAGGAGTGAGCCTTCTCACCGACTTCTTATCTCCGTTGAGAGTTGCACCAGCGCAGCATCAATTGGGAGAGAATGGTGGCAGGTAAAGAAAAACTTTAGCTAAAGCGCAAGCGCGCATTTCAACTATCCTGGAAAAAATGCAGGACTTAATAGAGTGAGACTAAACTCGCCCTACTAAACATAAAAATTTACTTTAGTCTTTGTTGTTATTTGATAGCTGCTAATAAATAAAAAAATATGTATAGGAGCAAATAAAAATGGGTGTTTCTAACATGTACCAAAGTACAATCACCAGTCACCCAGCTCTCCTTGCGGGGACGCGAATGTATCATTTAAAATTCACTATCCATTATTAGGACGGATAGTCTGCATTAAGAACGAGGTAATTAGTCGTAGGCTGAATCAACACACACAGCACTGTTGTGGCTTTGCAGGGGGAAATGTTTCCCAGCAACCAGTTAGTAGGCCAGTGTATTCCTGGTGGAAGTGGGCAGTGATTTGGGGCGGTCTTTTGATGATGACCTGGGCAGAAGTCCCAGCGCTCATTGACTTAATCCGGTCCTGATAACGGGTAATAGTCTGGATAAAAAGTAATTACAGAAAGCCAGGAGGATTTCAGCGCTGCATTCCTGCTCTATCCTTGAACCCGGTCAGAGTGAGCGGGCAGGAGCCCAATACCAGCTCCAGATTGTTTATAGAAGGAATAAGAGACTCGAGCTGTTTTGATGGAGCGCTATAATTTGATACGTAAAAATAAATACACTGCCTAGTTTTAGCTTTATAATGAGTGGGAGGAATCCTTTTCTGTTGGTTTGCTTTTCATAATCTAGCCAGGTAGGTTCGTCCTATGTTGTGATGCTCTCTGGGAAAATAACATGCTTTCACAACGTTAAACTACATTTATCATCTTGTACTGTGCGCTTCAATTATGTAAACATTGTATTCCTCCACCTGATTATTTTACACTTATTGCATATTTCACTTATCACCTGAAGTTTTTACTTTCATTGTAAGTTTTTTGGCAATCATGTCTTGTTATACAAATTGTACTCACAGTTAACAACTTAATGAGTTGGGAGGTGAACCGGCTGTCTGAGTTTCATGGAGATGTACAGTACGCGTTCATCCACGACCTCGACACAGCACATTTATTTACATTGTGTTAAACTCGTCGGCCTGTCTAGTCATGTCTCCGTTATGCAATCTCCCGACGGTGAGAAAATCTATTTCTATTTTTCCGACATTAAGCCCATAATTGCATCTTGAGACATGCTCATTTCACTAAATTACTGGAGATGAGACTCAGAGAAAAATCATTTCCAATCAAACATGCGTCCCTGGGGTCATAAAGCTAATGTAAAGAGACATAAAGTTAGTTGGATGACTCATTGCTCGCCCACACAAAAAAACATGTGGGGTGCCCTCCTTCTTTATGCAACTACAAAGTCTTATGAGAGAAGTTAAGACAGCATATGCCATGTAAAAGAACAAAGCTGATGTTGTATACAATGCAATATGAAGCTTAATATTTATCTTTTGTTCCAGCATCTTTGGGGAGATATGAGGGTCGGTAATGCTTCACATCACATGCCAGGTGACTGTGTTTAAATTTGATGTTGCTGTGCTCGAGCTCTCTTGATGTACCTCCGCTGCTACAGCAGAGCTCTTTTTACAGCTCCCCAAACTAATCTCCACTGGCAACATGCCTGGACAAATATGACAAGGGTGTCATTCTGCCACAGCTGAGAAGAACTACTCTACACGGGGATTGGACGGCGCGGTGGCTTTTCAATTCTATTGAAGTGCATCGGTGCAACTTTGTCCGGACTCGGAATAGAATATTCTAGTTATGGAATCACCCGTACGGCCGCCACACTTCCTCTTTAGGGTGCATTTAAAATAGGAGCCTTTTTTTATAGGCTATATATAATTGAATGTGCGTGTACAGTAAATACAGTAGCTAAATGGCAACACAACATTATATGGTACAATCAAACCGCTCTCCTCCTCTGTCCCACAGGCGGCTCCTCCAAGCAGCAAAGAAGGCCAATCAGACCGGACATTTCATCTGGGTGGGTTCAGACAGCTGGGGCTCCAAAATCTCCCCAATACTGAACCAGGAAGAAATGGCAGAAGGTGCTGTCACCATTCTACCCAAACGACAATCCATAAAAGGTATTCAGAACACGCCCTCTTCACTTTGCCTTGCAGAAGGCTCTTATTGGTTTATTTTGGTTTATTATTGGTGTTTTTTTTTCCTTTTCTGCTTATTGTAGTCTATGTTTGCCTCCCCTCAACATTCAACATAAATGATTTTTAATGAGAGAGCTTCAGATGACCATTAATGTGTTTTACTGGCTAGTGTTTGCCACCGCTTTGAAGCCACATTGGACATTATCGCTGTTTCTTACCTTTTATGTTGATCAAAGCAATATTGTGCCATATTTTTCCTTACGTTTTTATTGTTTATGTTGTATGTATATATGCTGTAACAATGTTGGTGAATGTGAATATAGTTGTCTATTGATAACAGATCAGCAAAGGTGATCGATTAAAATCTAACGGCATCTCAATTCTTTCAGGTTTCGATCGCTACTTCATCAGCCGGACGCTGGAGAACAACAGAAGGAACATTTGGTTTGCAGAATTCTGGGAGAATAACTTCCAGTGCAAGCTCAGTCGGCACGCTGTGAAGAAAGGATCCGGCATCAAAAAATGCACAAGTGAGTCTCCACCTAATAGCAGAGGAGGCGCTCGGTCAATGGAGAGCACTCAATCAATGACCAAGTATATTGATTGGGTCTTCTGTGAATACATTATGCATGCGTGTGTGCGTACTTGGTGTGTATTAGTAAATGTATTTGTCCTCAGGGAGAAAACAATGGCGCTCCTCTAATTTAGGTTAAATGTAATGGGTGGAGATAAGTGAATGAGAATCTCTAATTTTGTCCGAGAGAAATTAATGTTCACATTAGTCGTCTGTTGGCTACTTCAATTTGCAGTGGGCGACAATAGCAATCACAGAACTCTGCCACCGCATGCGCTGAAAACATAATCAATAGTAAATTCAATCAGCTCATTGGAAACAAGCTTTCAGGTTGTTAAAATCAGTCGGCTCCCCAGGCCTGTCTCATCCCAGTGTGCAGTGCAAGGCTGCATCTCAAGTAGTCCAGGCTGACGGATTTAAAGCTGGTCACCTGTAATGTTTCCAGGCGATACATTCCTCAAGTTTATGTTGGAGTGGCGTACAACACAAAGACCTATACGCTGTTCTCTGCTCTGAGAGAAGCCGATCGGCTTGTAGGGTTGCCGCTGTCCTTCACTGACCCAGCCCTGGTGGATGATAGTGCTCATGTTAAGAGAAAGGTCCATCTAAAATGTGTGCTGAAGCATGAAGAATATTATTCAGTTATACACATTAGTCTAAACTAATTTAAGGTGGAGAAATTTCGTTTTAGCCAATTTCTTCTGTTTTAACAAGTAATTTTTAAATGCTTTTTCAAGCTGAATTACTCATTTCGAAGACGCTTATATGCACACCTCTGGTAAACACCAGCTTTAAGGTGGTGCTTTTATGTGATTCTTTGCAGAGAAACTCAGTTTTACATATCTGTCAATAAAATCAACTGGACGACAAAATCGTATGAGTGTTCGTCCACTAAAAATTTCTTTGGTCCAGAACAGCATTAACCAGTGTGATAGTGTTAAGGAGAGGTTGCCATCAATCTCCAAGAGAGGGTCGACATTTGAATACAAATGATAAAAAACTCCCACACACTGTCTCTACTGCTGGAATATTAATCAATGACGCTTCTGACTTTTTGGGCTTTCATCAGGTATCATATAATATATAAAGAACAGGAAAGGATTGTAAACAAATAATTGCGACATAAAACACTGCAGCACATTCCTTTATGGAGCCTCCAACTATCCAAAGGTCAAAAAGAGAAAACGATATGTAAATAAGGGCAAGATAATAAATCTTACAATACTAATAAGGGGGAAAGTCATCTTAGCTAGAAACTTCCAAAACTACAAATCTGAAAAAAACAAAAAATAAATACTTTTTATCTCGCCAACCAATAACTTCCCCCATCCACCTGTTTCATTTAGTGACTTTCAGTTTAAAATATACGTGAAACATCACGTTCCACAGCCTACTGTTGAACCATAATCTTGACTATTTAATATATTGTGTCGTGTTGTAGACATGTTGTCCTGAAAACACTGTTTTGTGTCGTTGTTTCGATTAGAACAACCAGATGTGTCTTTCTTATCCGACTAATATTGAACACTGCATCCTCAAAATGTCACCAAACACCACAGCACACAAACTAAATTGGAACAACACATGAATGGGCAACGCTAGACAATTAACTAGAGATTTAAATGCCGCCTCTCAAAACAACAGCGTGAGAGATATGCTTCCAACAATCTACTTTTGCAGGTTTCAGGAGAATACGTAATCTTGAATAATTTCTTTATTTATCAGTTGTCATGGTGGCTGCTCTTGGCCCTAATTGCTGCAGGCCCTCTTTCTTCCTCTGAGTAGCCTCCAGGGCACAGTCTTTTTTGTACAAGAGGTACAATCATTTCACTCAAGAGCTTTTCACAAGTACTATCACTAGCCTCCACTTGTTCCCTTTGTAAGCACCATCATTTCCTGTCCCCACTTTTTTTTTTACCTACTATAATACTGAATTGTATAGATCACACATTATACATCGTGTTTTTTAATAAGTAGGAACGAGTAAATTCCTCTTTTGAAAAATCTGTGTAAAGCTGTAATCAACCACCAGGGATTAAAAATAAATAAATTAAAGTACTAACACGATCAGATGGGCAGGTAATTATAATATTTGTGTGGTCATGAAGCTTTTAAGTGCACAGTGCAAGCCACTGGCAACTGATTTCTCAAGCATAACAGCATGGTCGTAACAGGTTATTTCCCAGGGCTGACACATTCAAGTGTATCTGACTTAAATAGCGAGGAAAACAACACAGCAGATGTAGAATTCAGGTCCTGTTGCTTCTCTTCTTTTTTTTCAGTGTACTTGTAAATCTGCTGCCCTAGAGGCCAAGATTTACTTTGTGGCTTCAGACATACATTGTAACTCACAGATCATTTATCTGTGTTGGTATTGTAAAAATACCATCTTGAGTACCTGAAAAGGCCAAAACCTCCTTACTTTAATTTCCCGCATGTGACAAAATGCACCCACTATAATGAATTTACACAGAGAAACAACTGTTCGTATATCAATAAAATTCAACCAGCCCAAAAACTACATCCTCCAAAGTGATCATTAAGTTGAATCAACACCACTCAGCAGCATAGCAAAGGCACTATATAAACTCAAATAATATATGAAACAAATCTAAAATATCAATAAAAGTGAAGTTTATAAAGAATGAAGACCTCCTGCTCCTCTGCTGACGAGAATCACTGCCTGCAGGTACGCTGGTAGAGGGAGGAGGGGCTGCTTTGTCCCAGTCAGCAGAGGTGTATAAGAATTTGCCAAATGTTAAGATACTCGTCAAACTAAGCAAAATAGTTTGACAACATACAGACAGCTTTTGTGTTACCTTGTGTAGCCGAGGGCTACGTTGCACCTACACTTTATGAAGGTAATACAATATTAACACTGTAGCCTGCACTATAGACTGTGTATAAGAAGTGGACTCAGATGTCACAAATTGGTTCGTGGACTGCCGTTTTGAACCCCATTCGGCTGCTTCGCTTACAAACTTGTTGAATTGCACAGCCAGTTTGCCCTCCATTCTTTTAAAACCTTTGTATCAGCTTCAGTCGGTTTCTACAGACGAATGAGCGGAAACCCAGAAACTCCTGGTTAATTAAACGTGTGAGGTTCATAGAAAATACAAACAGAAGTTTGACTTTCTCACTGGTTCAAATGTGAACTGTTTGCCGTGTAGAATCCAATAATTCTGAAGTTTTCTGATCTGATCTGCTCAGAGCACTCGCTGTACATCACACTATTTCACGCTGCTGAACCATAAAATACGATGCAACACGAACGAGAACTGGCTGATACGACAGAACTAGTGAAGAGACAGACAAAGTGATAACAATAGAAAAATGTTGCACTGGATCATGGCATGAGATTCTCCATCACAGTTGCATTTGTCAGAAATGAGCAGGGCTGATACATCAAGCATAAATACTTTGGGGTGAGCAGAACAACTCAAATCTACCTGGTTGAAAGTGATACTGAGAGGAAATTGTTGAGTGATTTACTTTTTGTATTGTAAAACATGAAACATGCTGGAAAGACAGAGAGAGAAAATCAATTTGCCAACAGTCCAGCCATTTCATGTCGCATTTCATGCAGCATTTCCTCCATGCAGCCATTTCATGCAGCATTTCCCATCATTAGAGTTTTCTGACTGGGGTGTTGGCAACGACGAAAGCCTCTGCAGGTGCACTGCCTCATGTTCACGTCATTCCGGCACACGCAGTGAGGTTCAAAATTTGAACGGAGCAAAACTGGCTCGAGTCACTCTGTTGCTCTGCATCCCTGCAGACATGAGTCATCCAGGCTACCAGACACGGGTATTTGCCTGTACGCCTGCTCAATTGTCTGATGTCCATTGCTCACTGAAAACATCAAGGACAACAAGTGCAGCCAAGCAATGTTCTCTCACCCTATTTGATTCTCGTAAGATGCAACACAAATATTCAAGGTTCAAGTAAAAGAGATGCCAGACAACAACAAAGAGATGTTCTCTTCACTACGTATATTATGATTAACCTGCAGTGGTTTAGAATCATCACTCTGTATGATATTACTGGGGAAAAGATATCCTTTTTTTACACTCAATGTCTTAGTTTGGATGATTCCTCATTCGCTATCCATAGCTTACAGCTGCAACAATGAGTCCGGTTCATGTGACGGGCCGTGTCTTTGGAGGCTATGATGGCATAGCACTGTATCTATTTCTGTCCCTTGGGAGATGATGCCCTTAATTAGAACAAGAAAATGGGAGGGGCTTGTAATGGCTGTCAACCCAAGTTTGGCCCGATTCCCAATGTCCACACTTAAGGACTCACAGACTTGGAGGCACATTCCCGCAGAGTCTGTTTGGGGGTTTAGAGCTGTCGAGTGAAGGAAATGCCCACCACTCAGCTTTGTGGCGTTAAACACGGAGTTATCATTGGGGAAAAAGGCAAATAAAGAGGAGGGCACATGGGTATTCAGCCTTGCATATGAAATTGACATAGAAGCACTACAAGGATTTAAGATTATACATAAAAAAGTCATGAAATCATGGGCTATATTACATACCAATTAGCTCTCGTTTGAAAGGACAAGAGCCTGGAAGACTTTCAAATCAGGCGGCAAAAAACATCGAATTAAAACCTGCATTGTACATTACATGTTTTGTTGTCGTCAAGGTAATGTTATTTGTTGCTAAAAAGTGCTATCCCACTCATATTTGTACCGTTTTAAGCTCTTGCAGCCTTTCACACCAGGTGAGGGCTTCAAATGGCTTCTTTTGTCCAGACAACTGGTCAAAACACTCAAATGTAACACAAGCAAAGGTAGCAAATCCTAAAATTTGAAAAAGGTGGAAACATAAAAAACTGGTTTTCAGCGGATTTTTAGTTTTCCAAACCTAACTTAATTAAAAAATATAGCAATATATTTAATAGTGGACACTATTGACTAAAATTCGAAGCATCACAAAGATTGCAAAATAA